ACCTCACCACAAAGGGTCACAATTGTCAATACTTTTGTTCGTCATAACTTGCGAAAGAAGTCAGCGATTCTTCTGAGGTGATCTCGCATAAAATTGGATATAAATGTTAATTTTTCTTATAATTTTGCCCATACCAGTATTTTTATCTGAATTAGATGAAGTATGAAAATGGAATACTTCGGACGACTATATCTGGTACCTCACACACTCTTTAATATTATATAAAAATATATATATATTTTTCACATATTTCATATAAAGCGAAGGAAGTCCAAACCTGGCATGTCGCAATATTTATATCATATTTACTTAGGTCTAATACGAAACGGACAATAGTGGCCCTTTGGAACCTAACAGAAGTCAAAATATATTTCAATAATCGAACATTGGCGAAGGGTCGTTAAATGTCGTTAATACCGACTGATACATTTTAACCTGTTTTTCCTTTATTTTTATGAGAAAGAATTTTTGGGAAAATAAACATTTTTTGCATTCTCCCTCTATCGACGTAACAGAAATAGGCCCTAAGTTTAAAATCAAACAAAATAATATAAATTTTAAGTTAATTCATTGTTGAAAAAAAAGAGAGTAAAAGTGAAAAAAAAAACTTATTTGTTTGTTGAAAAGTAAACATTAGCCATGTGAAGATAAGAATGTTTAGCTCAGTATTATTTACTCAAGTCTAATCGGGAACTAGTTGATGGATGACTAACACCTCCGTCCGGTCGTATGACTAAACATTATTGGTGATAATAATTGAAGAAGCAATGGAACCGGAATGCCTATATGCTTCTTGTGACGTTGAATTGTTTACAATCTATTTTATGGATTAATTATTAGGGATGGCAATTGAAATGCGGATTTTGTAAAATGCAGGAGAATTAGTAATACGTTTTATAACCTTTACCATGTGGAAATTTAAATTATTGAAAAATCAGTAGTTTTAAAGTGTAGGGCTTAAGCAATATGTCAGGGCCTGAAAGAATACTCAATATTAGTAAATAAGTGTGAATGTGGATAGGAACTTCACACACCGATTTGGAAAAACCATGTTGAAAACCATATTGGAACCATATTGAAGTAAAGATGTGTAGGTTTAATTATAAGTGTTACCTTTGAAATACCAGAAAGTGAAAATTTTCTGCAGGAAAGGTTTTATGTACATAGAAGGGTTACAAACGGAATGACAAAATTAATATGCCACTCGCGGAATTTAAAAGTCACGAATTAATTTTGTAATATCTTACGTTTGATATTGTTCATAATTGTTTTAACATATTTTCATAATTATGAATTCGTGAACGTTTTTATACGAATTAACTTTCTTTTTTTTTAAATTCAGAAATTAGCAATTAAATGAAAAAAAAAAAACAAATAAAATGAAACAAAGCGGAATGCGAACACAAAGATAGAAAAATGAATTTTGAGATAAGTTAAAACGGTACCGCCACTTGGTGAAAAAAAATTTACGGGTAAAATCGGACCTGGGGTCCGGTAACAGAATGCCTCAAAAGGGAACCTATTTTTAGAACGAACAAAAAGACAGAAAATTGAATTTGGTGATAAGATAAAACGGCGGTACCTTCCACTTCGTCAAAATAAATGTATAGGTAAATCGGACCTGGGCTCCGAAAACTGAATTCCTCAAAAAATGGACCATATTTTAGAATTAATAAAAAAAAAAAAACAAATTAAAAAGCATCAGTCGGTTTTGCCGATAGATGTATACCCTCAGCCAATATTCGATTATTGCAAAAATAGAATATATTTTGAGTATTTGGGTCAACAACTTGAATAATCATGACATTTAAATTGTTGACCCTCTATGGAGTAGGATGCAAAGGAGTGGGTCAATATCGTCCGTTTCGCATCAGACCTAAATAAATATGATATAAATATTGCGGCTTGTCAGGTTTGGACTATATTTGTTACTTCCTTTACTTTGTATGAGATATGTGATAATTTTTAGAAACTGTTGAAATGTGTCGATTATAGTCGGTGGATGCTTATTTCGCTCTGTTTGAGTGTTTTATTTTTCAAAACATTGAGGTGGGGAGGTGCCAGAAGAAATGGTCCGATCTCTACCATCGTTATAAGAGATCAGTGTATCCCATCTTCACAGCAAATTTTGTGTTAGTAGAAATAATAGGATTTGTGAAATATGAAGAGAACCGATGTTTGTTTTGTAAAAAATTTGGAAAAATTTGTGGGGAGGTACCAAAAGGAATAGTCCGATCTCTACCATTTTTATACCCTACAACACTATGTGTTGGGGGTATTATAAGTTTGATTGGGCCAGAATTTATGTAACACCTCGAAATATTGGTTTTCCATATAGGAAAGTATATATGGATCTTCCTAGCTCGCCGAGCTGAGTCGATCTAGCTATGTATGTCCGTCCGTCCGTCTGTCCATGTTAATTTGTAATCACTCTACAGGTCGCAATTATGGCCCGATCCTAACGAAATTTTGCACGAAGGTGGGGTTAGGGTCAGAATAGAAGCCTATTTCTTTTGGAGATGATCGCCAAATGTTTAGGGGTTGAAATGAACCAAATACTGAAAAAATCTCGGATTTTGCAGTAGCTATAAAGGTCGCAATTATAGACCAATCAACGCGGAATTTCGCATGTAGCTAGAGTTTAGAAGAAGAAGCCTACCAATTTGGGTGGTCATCGGATAATATTTAGCGGGTAAAATAGACCATATCTTTTGTGTTGAAAAAATTCAAAATTTTTCATTAAACCGCGAATATTTTAAATCCCGGCGAAATCACAAAGCCATGACAAGGTTACTTCTGACCTTTAAATTGATGTTAACATCCAACAAATCGGATATATAGCAAAATATGTGCGATATATATGTCTATCAGAGAAGATATGCTTGAAAGATCTCTTATATGTCGAGAACGGCTGAACTGATTTTCACAGTTCTCATTAATTCAGAATGGCCTCTTGGCAAGAAAGAAAAAACGACTAAAAAAATCGCATAAAAACATCTCTCTAAAGATGAAAATATTGATTTTGTAAAATTTTCTCATATTTTTTCAATTTTGTCATATTTTTGGCATATTTTTATTTTGAATTAAACATTTGGTAATATTTCTACAGCTAACAAAACTAAGTAGTTAGGATATCATGATATCATATACAGATCGCATTTATGGCCCGATCCTTACAAAATTTTGCATGGGGATAAGATGAGGGTCAGAATAGAAGCCTACTCTTTTTGGAGATGATCGCTATATATTTAGGGGTTGAAATGGACCAACAAAACTGCAAATTTGTCAGCAGGTCGTAATTATCGCCCGATCCTCACGCACATTTGAATGGGGGTTACCGGACATTGCAAAAGCCCAACAGATTTGGATGGCCATCCAAACATATTCAATGTGTGAAATAGTTTGCCAACTTTTGCAGACAAAGTACGAAAATGTCCATACCGGACGCACTTCTGACTGACTCTCATATAGATGCGATTCAGTCAAAAACCAATAATAAATGTTAATCTTTTGCCACTTCTGAGAGATTATAGGTCTTTGGGAAATATTGGTTTCAGATCTAGGAAGACCAATTACGTGCAACATCTACCAATAAATTGGAAATGAGGAAATTAGTTTAAGTTGCTATTATTCGAAAATTAGAGAACGAAACTTGTTGGTTTTCTTTTATTATTTGTCACAATATCTTGTGGAATTCTTTCGAGTATATCGCCTATATAAACTGTATCGTTTATTATAGTGTTGTAGGGTATTCAACGGTCGGCCCCGCTCGACTGTAGCCTTTGCTTACTTGTTATAACAGACCTTGTGTTGATAGAAATATTCATATGTGTCAAGTCTGAATGGAATCGGATGTTATAATTATTCAAAATTTTGACCCTTTGTGGGGGTCCACTCCATAAAGTGGATCGATATTGTCCATTTCCGCATCAGACCTAGCAATAATGCAAATATTAAGATTTGCAAAGTTAGAGCAAAATCGAATTATTCTTTCTCTACGCCACCTTGCACATTTATAGAGCTACCTATGACAAATAATAACTTTTATGATCGTTTTTGAATGCGTATTATGGCTTATAAGGAGTTATAAAAAGGAACTAATATATGGGAGAAATGTCCTCCTCTGAATCTGCTTCCAATAGAGAACCTGTAGCTATACCTTAACCGATTCTTACCAAATTTTAGCAAAAAAAATCCTGATTCGATTTGATAGAAAAACGCATTTTCATGTGGTGTAACCCCTAAATTTTCAAACATTCTGAACCATACTCTTTCCTATCGTCACTACTCTTCATTTCTGTTAATTCCTGATAGAAATAAATATTTACCTGAATTTTCTTTAATGCTAAATATATTATTTATTTAACATGAATAATGAATGGAATATTATTTCACAACTATTTGTGTATGTGTGGAAATATACATATGTATGTAAGTATATTTGCATATACATGAGAATATTTGTGTATTTATGTATGTGTGCTTTGACGTTGTAATTATGGGCAGCGAAAATGTAAATAAATTGCCCCCAAAAGGTGGTTAGACCGACCGAAATCCAAAAGGCCAAGGAATTGCGTGTTCGGTTGTAAGCAACACCAAATAGATTTAGATCTCGACGGATAACAATCCTTTCAAAGGCAAATAGCTTAGGTCAGTCATAAGGATATATTTCTCAAACAAATCACAAAATTTCTTCTTCAAGTCACTACAGAAATGAACTCATTTCGTGTCTCAGAAATAGAAAATGATTTCAACATTCATTGGAGTTGGCTTTTTACTGACAACCAACCCCGTTTGGAAATGCACATCATTTTGTTAAGTGGTGCAACAACAACAACTTACATTGTTGTTAAACTGGAGACCGACCGCACCTAATCCTAATAGGTATTATCATCGAACTCTTCTTTTTGTATTTATTCCATTTTTGTTTTCTTTTTTGGTTTTACACCTCTTCTGTTAATCACATTTTGCATTTATGCTGTTGTTGTTGTGGTACTCACCGCTTGTATGGCTTCCACCGAGTCTTTACTGTGCATCGTCCAGAACATGGCTATGATGAAGAGGAAGTTGTAGAACTCATAGGCTCCATGACCCCACATGCCCATCATGGCATTCGATATGAATATAAAGTGGACGAACGCGACCAGCTGTAAATGAGAGAACATAGCGAAATGGTTGTAAGCGATGTTGTCGATGTTGGTAACGAACAGCAATCAAATCAAGTGCAAACTATTTAAATGCTAATATCTGAAATAATAAATAAGCAGTTGTTGCGATGTTGTTGTTGCCTCGGCTGCCCTGCTGGCTGGGTTACTGCGAACGAACATCATCAGCTCCATACGGAGGTGACATCGTTCGAAGCAGCCAGTAAATTCATGGAATTTCTACATCTAATGTTCGCAAGTAATGAGTAAACAAATCTTTTTCCCCTCGGAGAAGCCGTAGAAGTGTTCAATCACCGCCGTCTCCCTCAGTCGAGATATCAAATGTTGTTGGCTTGGCAGCAGCGACATTTGTGGCAGGCGGTTGACTCGTTCATGAACCCCATCAATGTTGTCAATATTTCCAACTCTTGGATTACAAAGTTTAGTATTAATACAGCGATCATCGGCTGCGTATTGGTTATCACAGAGATAACTATCATGGAACGTATAGCGGTTTCGGATAAAGTTTTCAAAATTAGTCAATTTTACGAAACCAAAGCATGAGCCGATATTGTCAATGAGGATGTTTATCCAAGGAAATGTCTAGAGCAGTCATCGGTTGGAAAATCTAACAAATCTAAATATGTATGGCGGAGAATTATAAGACATCCATGGTAATCAATGGTAATCAATGTGTAGAGTCTCAATTTGTATATCTGGCTTTCTTCGAGATGAATTCTGGATTTTTTATGTATTATTTTTATTAAAATTGGTATTTGTAGTTCACAAGTTCTAGCTCCGTTGGAAGATCATTGAAAATTTAGGTCTAAGTTTTCCTATTGCGCACAGCATTATCCAAAAAGTCTTACTGGTATGTGTAGTTTAAAGCAGAACATACTTTTTTTTGTAATAGTGGAGGGTATTAAAAGTTCGGCTCGGCCGAAGATAATAACCTTTTGATTGTTTCTTCTTCTTTTATGAAAATATAAAATTAAATATATATATTTTACACCCTCAGCCCCCGACATAGTCGTAGTTCGGGCGGGCCGATTTCGAATTTCAAATACGAAAGTTGAAAAAATTCCGGTGAATTATGGCTAAGCTCATCAAAATACCGATTATCGGAAGGTATCATTATATGGAGCTTATACGAAGACGTGAACCTGCATATGCAATTTTCAGTCATAGGTTGTAGCACCGATTACGAAATTCAACTATGAAATTTGAAGTAATTCCAGTAAAAAATGTCACTTAAATCATCAAAATACTGATTATTAGGAGGTACTGATATATGGGTCCTATATGAAAACATGGGCCGACATGACCTATTTACGAACGTTACCTGCCTACTGGCAAAATACACATATGTGCAAAATTTTAGCCCTCTATCTCAATTCGTTCCAAACATGGAGTGATTAAAACTGACAGACAGACGGACGTAGCTAAATCGACTTAGAATTTTACGCTGATCAAGATAATATATACTTTGTGGGGTCTGACTTTTGTATTTCGTGGAGTTACAAATGGAATGACAAAGGTAATATACCCTCCATAGTATGGAGCTACTTCATATGCTATGTCTTATCGAAAAACCGTTCATGTTTTTAAACGAAATCGGTTTCAAGACATTTGGAGTCAATCAAGCGATGTTCGTCCATCAGCTCTGCCTGCTTGGTATAATCTTAGGTGGAATTCGAATATGCAATATTGGCCCACTCGCTATACGCAAATGACCAAAATATTGAAAAAATAATACATCTCATAGAAAGCGAAGGGAGTCTTCTTGTACCAAATAGAGATCAGGTCCGAATATTGGCAAAATCAGTCCTCACAATCTTGTATTTTCTCTACAATGTTTCAAGTAATAATCGTGAAGGGGATGTCCATGTTGGCTCAAATTAAAACATAAATTTGGTTTTATAAAAAACATGAATGTGATTAGTCCAGCTATATTGAATTAATAAAATATGATTAACTCTTTAATTATTTCTAAGATTTGTACAACAAAATTCGTCTTTCAGAAGATTTTCTAATTGGTTGTATATTAAATTAAAATTTAATTATAGTTGGCCATATTTTCACTTTTCAAATGAAATTAATATTCAAACATGAATTGTTTATTTTTTAATAAATGTGTTTGTCTACCCCCCACTACCGCACCCACCTCAGATATTTATTAACAGAATAGTGCTAATAAAAATTGGATTTCATTCCATAAATAATAACATGCGTATTCAAGTTTTATTCACGACCACTTGAGACGTCACTGTGTAGCAGCTATAAATGTGTTTATGAGTTGGACAGCAGATGGTTGGTCGGCTGGTTTGGAAACAACGTGTCCTTTCTCACACTTTGATTGAGGACATTTCGAAATTTATTCAAGGAATTCATGCAATCATCATGAATGGTAATTAAGTGGTAACTTTCGATATTTTTCGAAGAATTAAAGAAATGATGTGGGAGTGAATAAGAAATGAAGTTAACACTGGACATGCGCCACTCTTGAGACAAAATTTAATTACGAATCTTCCTAATCTTATTTTTCTGTGTTCCTACTTTCTAAATACACAAGTTTTATTTTCAAAAACTGATCCGGGGCTCAAGTCATTTTTTTTCTTGAAATAAAAACGAATTAAAAACAAGTAAGCAACGGCTATAGTCGTTGGGGCCGACCATGTGATACCCTACAATACTAAAATATATTGGAAAGTCCTCTTAGGTCCATCCCATCTTGGTATTTACAAACCCTTCACTGTAGTATGGAGGGTATATTTAGTTTGTCATACCGTTTGTAACACCCCGAAATATACATTTTAGACCCACAAAGTATAAATATTCCTGATCAGCATAAAATTCTATTTCTATTTCGCGAGGTCCGTACGTCTGTCACGTAGGTTGATAAAATTTTACTCTTATGTATATAATGTCTGCAGGACTTTTAGTATTGAAAATGGGCAATATTTACCGGAATTGTTTCAAACTTAGTATTTAAAGATCGTAATGGATACTACAGCCTATGATAGAAAATTGTCCGTGCAGGTTTACGTTTTAGTATAGACCCCATAAAATGCTACCTCCCTATATTCGGTATTTTGATGATTTTTGCTACATTATTCACCGATTTTTTTTCAAGTTTTGCATTTGAATATTATAATGGCTTACGACAAAAGTTGCCTATGCAGGTCCACGTCGTCGTATAGACCCTCATATAACGGCTACATTCGGTATTTTTTGAAAATTGCCAAATTCGTTCCAAATTGTGGAGGGTATTCAAATTTTGGCCCGACCGAACTTACAGTTTTTTTACTTGTTTTTTTTTTTTTTAATAATGTCATGCAGTCCTGCAAAACGTTTTTTTTTTGGTTTTTGACCAGTATGTATGCCATCTGTCGTGCTGATTGGTATTTAGAAAAAATCAATCAAAAGTTGTGATCCGTTTTAACCGCTAAATATTGTCCAATGACCATCCAAAATGCAAGGCTTCTGACCTATCCTAATATCTGTCCTCATGCGAATTTCCGTTTCGATTGGTGTTTAAATGTGATGTATAGAGCGAATGCAAAATCAGGATATTTTTTTTGAGATTTTTCGTCCATTTCACGCACTGAATATTTGGCGAACATCTTCAAAAACAATGCGATTTTATTCTGACCCTCACCCCACCTACATGCCAAATTTCGTAGGAATCGGGCGATAATTGCGAACTGCGACATATGAAGATCTATATAAAACATGGTGGGTCTAGAGCCAATATTTCGAGGTGTTGGCCCAAACAATCTCATAATACCCTCAAACACATAGCGTTGTAAGATATAAAAATCATCATTTTCATAAAAAAATAATCTAACACCTGGAGGACATCTCATTTACACCCCACCCCCAACGCTCATTTTCCAATTCATAAGTAATAAATATTAGATATTTGATAAACCCTACTTTCCTCTAATAGGTAACAATAGACTTCTTTTAAAACTTATTAACAAGGACATTTAAAATAATTACAGCAATAAGACAACTTTTGACATTGCCACAAAGAAACGCCCTACACTGCAACTTGTCCCCAAATGGGTAACGGCTTCCCCTTTCAGTCACTCGACCTAGAAGTGACCTGGGAACATTTGAAATAAAACTAAACTATAACATTGTGTGTGTCTGTGTAAACGCAAACAGGGGGTGTTTTCACATTGTCCTTTTTTTGAATGCCACACGCATCATTTAGCCCCTTAGAATCCTTGGTTAAATATACAGTGTTCACAATTTGGGGGAGTGGGGTCATAGAAGGGGAAATTTTAAATCATCAATTGTCACCCATTTCTACTTCGTAATTTTCTATGCAATGCTAAATAATTAAACGCTTCCAAAATAATATCGTATTTGTAGTTGTCGCATAGCATTTATTGGCCTCCCCATGGGGTGCCATAAAACGAACGAATGAACACACACACAGCAACGGATCACCTAGGCTGTGTGAAACAAACGTCTGTCCAATTATGGAATATCAAGGCAATTGTCATTGTTGTGTGTTTAGTTAAAAAAATATATGTTATGTGGATATTAGAGTGGATACAGTAGGTTAAATGTCAAAATACGACTTTCTAAAGACATAACAGAAATCGGTTAATGTCAATTTTGAGTTACTGGTAGCACTTTTCGGAAAGGTTGGAAGCCAAAAAAAGGTGGAGAAGGAAATAATTTTATTAAAAAATACTTAGCTTTTGGAAAATGTTCTAAAATTGTCAAAAATAAAAAATGACATTGATGATAATTTTATGGGAAATATTAGGGAAACACATTTTCTTTGTTCGGAAAATTTATTACATTACTTCCTCTTTTGAGATTATAAGATTTTGACTCATAATTTCCACCATTAATACACAAATTTCAAAGAAATTTTGTCAAGTTCCTCAATCTTCTCTAATCTTTTTTTACGCCTTGAAATCCCAGCAATTTGGGTATAAAGTGTCTTCGGTATTATTATAGGTGCTTTAAAAATTTAAGCTGGT